GGTAACATAATGACGTTGTTACATGTAGATCTACCTCTTTGTTCAATGGCAGTAACTCAGTCAGTAACTCAGTAACTCAGTAACTCAGTATGTTTATGCAAGGCGGTCGAGATCATGAGTAGACCTGAGCTGCATTGTCTTTTTCTATTCTGGCAGAACACTGTAGAGCGGTGCTAGCTACATTTCCATTGACTTTGTAGTCGTAGTCCTGATCCACCCCCACGAAGTGAGGTCTGTTTTGTCCGTATATCTACGCATCGTTCTCTTTATGATGATGAATGGAGATGTGCGCTCCGCCAATCCCCCGCTGTCACTTGACGACGACCAGAGCGAGAGTTTTAGCGTGTATCGGCGCAACGTCAGCACCCCAGCGTTGATGCCCGGCGAGGGCTACGCGCTAACACGAGATGCCGGCGTCGAATGGGTGGGAGAGGACTGCGAATTTTCGAGTTCGTCACACTGGAACCAGGAGCAACAAGCGGCGTCCATCAGTGCTGAGCCAGTGGAGGGGCTTATTAGCCGGCCTGAACGACCCAATGAGGGACTTGTGCGCCAAAATACACGAGAAGCACTTTTGCTTCTTGTCGCTACGTTGGAGAAAGAAACAAGCTTATCAACAACCGGCAGCAGCAGCACAAACGTCGGCGAGAAATCCAACGAGGAATCGACGTGTTCAAATTTCGACAAGCAAGATGTTCTCAATGATGCTGTTCACCACCCCGCTGAACACACACATCATGAAGCGAACGGACAAAGTCCAGGGCCAGCACCCCTGTCTTATAACTCCAGTACATCATCGAAGAAAGACGTTCACTTGCAGCACGAGCGGGAGATCGAGGAGGTGGATTCGGGGCTCATTCGGATTGCCGATTCAGCGCACGGAGCAAGCGACACCGGTGATTTGGCTCGTATGGGAAGTGTCCTAAACAAGGCTACAAGTGTGCCGGAAGATGTAGGACGAAAGCAACAGCAACGGCCACTGCTAGCGGTAAGTTCCCAGTCAACACTACTTGTAACCATTCATTACTGTTAATTTAGTAAAGAGAAAAGTAATAGTAACGAGTTAGGCCACCACAGTCCACTTATAAGTCCTTTTCTCTTTACGTATCTAATATTGACTGAGTCCGAGGTCAATATAGGAAATAAAAGCCGAGGTCTTTTACGAGGTTTTTATTTCCTATACTGACCAAGTACGAAGTCAATATTAGATTTATCACGACAAACAGTCCGTATTTTAAATTCTAGAACAATAACCTCATGAATCCCGGTTTTATGATTGCACAACCGTTGCAACACCACCTACTCATGCAGTGACAATGCTGCACTAGGCACCGTTCAACTGCGCAACCCTAAGCAGTCAAATATAAGCAGTCAATATCCCTAAGGAGTGAAATATGCAGGAATATTTGACTGCTTAGGTATACAGTGAAGCTTGGTTATAACGACATTGGTTATAACGACAGATCAGCTACAACGACGAAAAATCCATGGCAGCAGCAATTTTGTATTGATTTGTGTACAAAAAAGATTGGTTGCAACGACAACTCGAATAACGACAAATCGAGAATAACGACCAAATTGCCATGCACCGTAGTGTGAAAATGAGTCAATAACGACATTCTCACGACTGCGACGTACGCTGTACGATCGATTCTGGCTTTCACAGCTGCCGCGAGTGCAAGACTTGCCGCTGGCCGGGTGCACAAGATCGTACAGTGCAGTGCAGTGTACATCAACTGTACACTGCACTGCACTGCACACTCGTACACGCCCGGAAACTTTGAAGGAGTGTCGACATGTCGTAGATCTACTGACGGTAAAATAAGTGTACTGTGTACAGGTGTAGTGCGCACTTACCCTCCCTCCATACCTTCCGTATCTTCTGTGACGGATTTTCGCAACATTTGCCATGCTTCTTTCTCCGAGAAATCACTTTGATAATCATGATAAGACTTGTACACAGCTCAATAGACAGCAGATAGGGCTTGCTCTTTGTTGTGTTGAGTTGAAAAAAGCACCATTGTGCAGAAAATTAATTTTGCCGCGTTTTGGTGTGCATATTGTGTTGGAAATCCCAAGATCGGATATAGTGACAGATCGCAAATAAGGACTTTTTTGGCGTTCCATCTCGGGTGTCGTTATAACCAAGCTTCACTGTAGCGAAAATCAATGGGAGTCAATACTAAGCGAATTCTCTTCATAGTATATCTTCCACCATTGAAATTTTGAATTTCTTGCTGAGAGGGGTGGCTTGCAACCTCGATATGGCTTGTTCCAGGCATGCTTTGGAGCCATCCCCTGTTGAAGTAGTGGCGGGGATCTGCCCTGCAACTGCTACAACAAAAAATGATTCGATCTGAGAAAGGGTGAGACCGCGAATCTCGGTTGAATATTGAGTATTTCAAGCCTTTTCACGACGAAGATGGAGTTCTTTTTGGAGATGGACGTCGCGGCAAAGGACATGGTGTCCGACTTCTGGCGTCTGGTGAAGCCAGGGATCATTTGTCAAGTCAGGTCGGCAGCCTAACCGTCGGTAAGCTTGTGTTTGGATCCCGTTCTGCTCGATGTGGTAGATCACAAACAATTTGATATCGCACAAATTGATCTCAGCATCGTGTGTACGGTATTTTATATTCAGAAAATCCAAAAATGTCTCTGTGTGGCCGTCCTATGCCACGAGAAACTCCAATCAGGCTCCTATGTCCTTTGCCTTCATGATTGAATGTCCACTTCGTTTGAACAACGACAATCGAGGACGGCTTTGCAATGAAAAATACAGCTATACTGGAGCTGAAAAAAGAAGAAAAAAACGTGCTCAGGATGAGACTCGAGTACACGCATACTCTCCCAGCAGGTGAAACGCAATTTTTTTGTGAAAAAAGCGTGTCGCAGACTGACCAGTAATTTCGCCTGACGACTTCTGGCTAGATCAACTCTTGTGTAATCATGGTGCTAGTGAAGCTTATAATTATCATATCCACTCTGATCTAGCCACCCACACTAGTAGCAAGTATTACCTTCATTGGAGGCAGGGGTAACTGCAGTTGGATCCCAGGACGGATACCCTGATGTTGTCAATCCCTTTTCTGCACCTTGTCCTCACCCACTTACTGAGGTCACAGTGTGGTGAGACCGTGAGTTTGGGATTTCAGGGGGTGTTGGCACTTGGGTGGTTCAATAGCCAATTGAGTCATATTTCCACGATTCCTTTTGAGTCTCTCTCCCCTCTCCCGGGGAGACCCATGTGACCAGTTTTGGCAGTGAGCAAGTACAAGTGTGTGTGTGTGTGTGTGTGTGTGTGTGTGTGTGTGTGTGTGTGTGTGCGTGTGTGTGTGTGTGTGCGTGTGTGTGTGTGTGTGCGTGTGTGTGGGTGCGTGTTTGTGTGCACATGTGTGTGTACCTGTATGTGCCTCAACCGGCCCTACTGGCAGGTATCGCTGACCAGTGGTGGCCGCAGCGTGTCTCAGTTTAGTGTGCGTGCCACGCTCGGTGGCAATGTGGACTTGAGCTGGCACCACGTCACCATCACTCTGCCGAAGAATGAACGTGCGAAGACACGCACCGATAAAGTCATACTCCACGACGGTAAGCCACCACAGACGCCTCTCTGCTGCGTGGACTTGGGTGATTAGTGGAGTGGAGGGGGATTTCCCCTGTCTGCTCAGAATCGGGTACTCACAATGGGAAGTTGCATTTGTGGACTTGGGTGATTCGTGGAGTGGAGGGGGATTTCCCCTGTCTGCTCAGAATCGGGTACTCACAATGGGAAGTTGCATTTGTGGACTTGGGTTATTCGTGGAGTGGAGGGGGATTTCCCCTGTCTGCTCAGAATCGGGTACTCACAATGGGAAGTTGCATTTGTGGACTTGGGTGATTAGTGGAGTGGAGGGGGATTTCCCCTGTCTGCTCAGAATCGGGTACTCACACTGGGAAGTTGCATTTGTGGACTTGGGTGATTCGTGGAGTGGAGGGGGATTTCCCCTGTCTGCTCAGAATCGGGTACTCACACTGGGAAGTTGCATTTGTGGACTTGGGTGATTAATGGAGTGGATGATATCGTAGTTCGCTCACCTCCAGCTCAACGCTCGGAGTATGCAGCGAATCGTTGAGACTTGCAAGTACCGCAAAAGTCCGTAAATAAGTACGTATTTACTTTCGAATTTAGTGACCGCACCCGTACTAACTTTCGGGCAGGTACTGACTTTCGGGCACGAACAACTTTCGGACCTGACTTGTGTGTAGTGGAGAAGTCGTTTGCATGTCGATGTACGTGCTGCATGTGCGCATCGTGCCGGTACTTATTTCGGGCAGTATGTTTATCGGGCTTGACTTGACTTCAACAGACAGAGCCAAAAGAATGAAGGGGGTCTTTCTTTCGGGCAGGTACTTATTTACTGGCTTTTACGGTACTGTACGAGTCATCATCGTTCAAAATAAATCTTGCAAAGAGTGGCGACTGATTTGAACCACACAGGCAGTCGTGCTGCCTACGCGAAGTCCTATAGAGAAGGCGATCGTCACGGTCGACTTTCCTTTAGAAAATAGCCAGGCAGCGGAGAGGAAGAGAGATGAGCTTGCGAAAGCGACACCGATCCTGAGCGAAAAATATTTGTCACCAGCGCCGAGAGCAGCGACGAGGTGGACCAAAAAAGTATGAACCCTTCCTCCTTGGACAATAAATTCCTCATGGCCAGTTGTCATTCTGTACCTTACCTTCCATCACACCAAGTTTTATCGTCTCAAGTGCACTCGTTGATGTCCAAAGTCTAAGTTCAAATTGTCGAAAGATAAGCGACAATAGAGAGGTTTTGCATTCCGAATTTCGGAATTATTTTCGGAATGTGGCGGCAAGAGTCGAAAAAGTAGTCGAACTTTCGGACGTGTGGTGGCGAAAGTGCATGGTTTTCCGAAAATGGATTTTCGGCTCTTTCCTGTTTGGGAGCGCATATTTGAATATTTTTCATGTGTGTATTTTTGTTTTCTGTTGCTCTCGCTGATTATATATGAAATTTTTTCCACGTGTGTAGTTTTGGTTTTTGCTGGTTTATGCTGCTCTCGCCATGTTGACTAGATCTTCTCACACTCCATCACACTCTATCTTCCTTTGCCATGGAGCCTCCTGACAGTACAAGTATGTGCGTGTGTGTGTTGTGTGTGTCCACGATCCACTTGATGTTTCTTTTCCACCCGCAGTGAATGGACGCGTGGAGGCCGGCAATTTGATGGCTCTGATGGGTGCAAGGTGGGTCCCGTTTCCACATACACTAGGTAGCTGTTCCACGCAATCTGAGAATTTGCCCAATATGACAATCCTCAGATTGCCTGTGCAATCTGCAGATGGCTTGGTATTTTTTTGGGGTATTTTTCAGATTTTCAGCACACCCAACTCGCAACACACACACACACACACACACACACACACACACACACACACACACACACACACACACACCTGTCCTGTCCTGTCCTGTAGAGTCACTGCCGCAAAAGGGTCACGTGATCCCATCACTGGGAAACTTGAGAAGAGAGAGAGAGAGAACACGACGCTCGATGACGCTCCAGGTGCACGGGTAGTCGCATCCGCTTGCCGCATATGCACACGTGCTGGAAGGCTGAGCGCTCCTCTGCTGTTGGTCTTTGCGCCACCCTTGAACAGCGATGCCTTCCCCGTCCCCGGACACCGCGAAAGCAGAGACCACACCTGTCACAATGCGCGGCACAACATCCCTCCGCCGGTGCCGACGCTCCGGTAGTTCCAGGTGGCACTGCGGCATCCACCGTCGAGGCACACACATGCCGGACCAAGCCACCGCGGCTTCTCAGCCACCGCCCACACCGCCCGCACTGACTGGCGCCCCGCTGCTCAGACACAGGCCGCGCACGCTCCTCCAGACACTTATGCCGAGCCATGTCTCCTTTCCGTGCAAAATCCCGTCCGCATACCGTACATACCACTCGGGGCGGAGGCTCAGGCACATTGTCAGGCTCTTGGTAGGTGCTGCGCCACTCCGCGCGAGACTCACATGCAACATCATACCATGATGCCTCCATGCCACGGGCACGTAGATCTCGGACAGCACAGTCCTTCCATCTGCGGCGTGGGCCATGTGCTGGGCGACGCTGCAAGAAGGAGCCAAACAGTACCTGTTTTGGGATGCGGTTGTCCGGCATCCGCGCCACATGCCCCAACCACTCCAACCGCCGATGTGCAATTTTGTCTTTAATCGTCTCGGAGTCTCCCCAGCGCACCAGCAGCTCTTCGTTGGTGATGTGTTCGTCCCACATCCGGCTTCGAGAGACCCCGAGGATGGATCGGATGCACCTCATGCTGAAGGTTGAGAGCTTCTGCAGGTCATGCTGAAGGGGCGTCCAGCACTCAGAGCCATACAACAGCAGGGACAGAACGCAAGCATTGAATACGCACCGCTTGGTGTGCATCAGCAGATGTGGATTCGAGAATACAGACCTCCGAAGAGCACCGCAGGCCCTGGAGGCTTGGGCAATCCTTGCGGCGATGTCCCGGGACGAACGGCAACCGCTGTCCACTACAGAACCGAGGTATTTGAAATGCGGTACGCATTCCACCTCCGCTTGACCAAGTTGGAGGGGAGCGCGGTCAGTAAGCGTGATGCCGGGGCCAACAACTACAAACTGAGTCTTCGTTGCACTGATGGTCAAGCCGAATCCCGACGCCACCTCGTGAAGACAGCACAATGCTGCCCCCGCTCCAGACCGAGTCGTAGCGAATAAACAAGAGTCGTCAGCAAACTGGGAATCTGTTAGGCAATGGTGTTGGTCGTCACGGCGGGGTTTACGGTATAAATCGCTGCTGTATGCTGAGCGGAGCTCGAAGCCAACCCCGTCAACTCTCCTGACGCGGTGTTGCCACTGGGTCATCACGGCCCACATAAAGATATTAAAAAGGACCGGCGCCATAGAGCACCCCTGGCGAAGACCATTGCCAATGCTGAACGGGTCTGATAATATGTTGTTGAACTGCACCGATGCTGACATGGGGTCGTGGAACGACCGGATGATGTTGATAAGCTTTTCTGGTACTCCCGCACGGCCGAGGACCTGCCACAGACACCCCCTGGGCACTGAATCATAGGCCTTCTTCAGGTCGATAAACACAAAAAATCCCTTGGCCTGATGTTCGATTGACTTTTCCATGAGCTGTCGGACGGTGAAGATCATGTCAGAGCAGCCACGCCCTCGCCGGAACCCGCACTGGGACTCAGGGAGAAATTCCTCTGCGAATACCTGCAGCCTTCTCTGAAGGACACTCGCCAAGACCTTGCCGACCACATCCAGCAACGCAATGCCCCGCCAATTGTCGCACTGCGACAAATCTCCCTTCTTTGGAATGGGGATGAGGGTAGCATCCGCCCACTCCCGCGGAACGCAGCCATCTCGCCACACATCTCCAAACAGCTCCATGAGCTTGTTGTTGAGCTCCTCGCCACCGAACTTTAGCAACTCTGGCTGTATCCTCGATGAACCAGCAGCGGTGCCATTGCGAAGTCGAGAAATGGCCTTGGAGATCTCATGCATGGTTGGTGGTTCCTCAAGGCTCGACACTACAGGTCGCTGCTCAACGCAAGCCATGATATCGGGGTTGTACGAGCTCTCTGGGTTCAGGACAGATGTGAAATGCCTCTGGAACCGCTTGCATTGATCCTCAGTCGACTGGCACAGGTTTCCATTCTCGTCCTTAATGGCGGAAGTCTAGCACGGAGTTAATCCCTCACATGCAGCGTGGATAGCATGAACGCATTTCCAGACGACTGCCCCGTTGAAGCGCGCCTCTGTCGCCTCCTGTGCCTTATTCAAAATCCAAGCCTCTGGCATTTACAACGGCTGCGCGCGCCTGCGATCGAGCAGCCCCGAAGCTGGCCCAATACGTGTCGCCCCTTGCTGACCGTGGGCACACACACACACACACACACACACACACACACACACAAACAGTCCTTGGTGACACCATGTATAGGAAATTGTCCGAATTTTCACCCAGGAGGGCATCATCAGGGGTTTTTCTGTTGAGGTCCACACTTTATCCATACTATAGGTTTTGTTGCAGGTTGTACCGTACGTCTACGAACTGTAGAAGCTGGCATAGCGATATCGATCGCATTGGGAATGATACTACGATGTTGTACTATCGTAGGCCCTGACAAACGACATCATCAGGGATGATATGCGAGTTGTGTGTGCTGAAAATATCACAAGGCTACAGTGGAGTTTCAAAGTTCTTTAATAAAAATAAAAACATTTTTTTCAGATTGCGCAGATAATGATGGCCTGCGCATTCTTGGAATTTTCACTTGGCGCAGCGCAATCTGAGGATTCTCAACAGATTCTTGCAGGGTTGTGCAATCTGGGGATTTTTCAGATTGACTATTTTACTTGAAGATGGCGCCCCGCACGGATTCGCTGTGCTCCTCATGTTTGGCAACGAAATCCAGAGACTGGGCCCACAGATTGCGCCCCACATGGATTCGCTGTGCACTTCATGTTTTCAGAGAAATCCATAGATTGCGCCCACAGATTGCGACCCACCTGAATTCGCTGTGCTCTTCAGGTTTTCAAACATATCCACAGGTTTCATGAGCCCCGCACGTGAATTTTGCACCACGTACTTGAGTGCATACCCAGAAGTTGTGGGTTGTTGGCTATCTGTTGACTGACAAGTAATCCCCGTCGTGCTGTGACATACATACAGTCAACTTTGCTAATAACGACTGCGGATATAACGACAATTCGCGAATATCGACAGAATTTCCATGCCCAGAGCAAAGTCCCATCCCACTGTAATACATAATTATAATGAGACTTCGGGTATAACGATACTTTGCGAATATGGACACTTTTCTTGATGCCCCGCCGAGTGTCGTTATATGCGCAGTTGACTGTACATGTGTGTGCGTGTGTGTGTGTGTGTGTGTGTGTGTGTGGTGTGTGTGTGTGTGTGTGTGTGTGTGTGTGTGTGTGTGTGTGTGTGTGTGTGTGTGTGTGTGCGTGTGTGTATGTGCCCCGGCGCGTTCGTGTGCGTTGATGAATTTAGCGGCGCTGGAAAGACGACCTTTCTCAATTTCTTGTCGGGACGATCAGCTAGCATCCTTGAAACTGAAGGTAAGATGCTTTTAAGTAAAATTAAAGTAAGGAGAGGGCTTGAAAGCCCAGGAGCCATCACTATGATTTCTTTTTACCTAGGTCCTCGTATGTGTTTTTCCAACTGGCAGAAACGTCTTTGCGATACGATTATTAGGCCCTAGCTAGCACAGACACACACAACACACACACACACAGACACACACACACACACACACACACACACACACACACATTCTCTCTATCTCTCTCACTCCCTCTCTCACTCTCTCACTGTCTCTCTCTCTCTCTCTCTCTCTCTCTCTCTCTCTCTCTCTCTCTCTCTCTCTCTCTCTCTCTCTCTCTCTCTCTCTCTCTCTCTCTCTCTCTCTCTCTCTCTCTCTCTCTCTCTCTCTCTCTCTCTCTCTCTCTCTCTCTCTCTCTCTCTCTCTCTCTCTCTCTCTCTCTCTCTCTCTCTCTCTCTCTCTCTCTCTCTCTCTCTCTCTCTCTCTCTCTCTCTCTCTCTCTCTCTCTCTCTCTATCTCTATCTCTCTCCAGGGACATTAGCTATAAACGGCAAGGCGGTGTCTACCAGTAGCATTCGCCGCACGGCCGCGTACGTTCAGCAAAAGGACGTCTTCTTGCCCAACCTGACCGTCAAGGAACATCTCATGATTCAGGTACATAAATCACCCCCCCCCCGGGTTTCCAAGGCAACCTGGGGTTTCCAAGGCAACCTGGGGTTTCCAAGGCAAACGGGTGTGCATGCTTTAGTCATCTGCAACTTGTGTTGTGATGACTGGAAAGATGCACAATTCGTCTTCGCTTGGCTTCCCCCTCTATGTTTTTTTTACATAAACTTGAGCCTCCCCAGTTGGGTGGTCTGTTGCTTTGCGTCGTCAAGTTGTAATAAGGCTGGTATGTCCAATAGTCTTACTAGTTTCGTCATCATCCAGTAACTTTCGGCATTCTTTGTTGCCACGGGGCGTAGCTCGTGCTCTTCTTCGTTGCGCTTTCCTTCCCCTCTTTGGACCTTTCCTAACCCGAGCGTTCCAAGTTGGAAGGTTGTCGGTTAGCGCCATGTACATGTAGACGTGTTGGAGCTAGGTGTCGGGTTGTTGAATGTCTCAATATCCTTGTCAGTTTTGTGCCTTGTTGTCGCACTATCTGACTGTATATTATCTCGTTACCTTGGTTACCTTGGTTACCTTGGTTACCTTGGTGGACTGTTAGTTATAACTAGTAACTTGTACTTGGTAGGTCCTTTCTTTTTTCTTCATTTTAGCGGCTGCTGTTAAAGCGATTTTGTTATCTTTGTTTTATCGTTGTCGTTGTCATCACCGTTGTTGTTTGCACCTAGGCCATGCTGAGAATGGATAACCGGCTGAGTGAAAAGGAACGAGAGGAACATGTGGATTCGGTCATGGAGGAGGTAGGTGTACACTGCATGTAGTACCAGTGGCGTCGGAAGGTATTTTAGGGCGATGCGGTCAGCCACCTGAACTACAATTTACTTGTGGGGTTGTGGTGGCTGGCTCCTTTGAGAATTTTGGAATTTACACCCCAGATCTGTGGTTTTCATTGATTCCCAGTGTACCTGGGAAGGAGAGTGGTACGGTCAATACCGTAGTGACCGTTGCGTGTCCGACGCCTCTGAGTGTGTGTGTGTGTGTGTGTGTGTGTGTGTGTGTGTGTGTGTGAGTGTGTGTGTGTGTGTGTGTGTGTGTGTGTGTGTGTGTGTGTGTGTGTGTGTGTGAGTGTGTGTGTGTGCTGTTCGGGGTTTCCGACCTGAGAGTATGGCTTCAACTTGTATACCTCTTGGCTTGCTGATGTTGCTGAGCCGAAAATCTCAACCTTTCGAAACTGCAACTTGTTCTGTGTTTTGCATGCCCGCCATTGGAACCGGGCCAGTAGGTCAGGTTGTTACCCGGACCAACTTTTCGGCCATCGGCACGTGTTTCCCATGGTTTAGGGCATGTGTACCCACCATATCATATGCAAAACATGAAAGGCCTTGATGCTACCGGGACAATCAGAACCTGCTGCCAGTGGTCCTGAGTCGCTGCCCCGGTGTATTGATACTAAGACCGTACAATACTCGCTATTCGTATTTCCCGCTCCTTCACCATAGCAATGAGATCCCATCAAGTATAGAAGAGCGCATGCTCCAGTGGTTCTCTAGTTCTCCTTCTCACTCTTGGCTACTCTCTTGTCTAAATACTTCGTCCATATAATTATTCAATAGTACAAAACTGGAAGTGTGAGGGACTTCGTTTAGCCGGGAGCAAACGCTGACCTCGTTCTGTGTGTCTTGTTTGCGCTGTGCTGTATGCAGATTGGCCTGCAGGGTATTGCAACGACCAGAATTGGCCACCCAACCACTGGCGCGCGAGGCATATCCGGCGGAGAGGCGAAGAGACTGGCATTTGCCGCAGAGGTGATTATTGATAATAGAGAGGTTAAGATGCACATTTTTTCCGACATGACGCGCAATTTCACGTCAAATTTGGCGTAAAACTCCAAATTTCGACGTGAGCTGCAGATCACTCGTGTTGTTTTTCGAAGCGCGAGCCAAATAACGCGAGCTGAACTTTCGCGTCACGTCAGAAATAACGTGCAAGCACTATCAAGTGGGGTAGTGCCTTTGCTGTTTGCGTTCGGCAGAGCTCACTGACTTGCCGGTTTGAGCACTCTGGCAAGGTACGTTTGGGCCTGGTTAGCATCATATTCCTCACACACTCGTACTCAGCCCATAGGCAACGAGGAATTGTTTTGGAGATACTAGTAGTGTGCTGATTCGGGTAACTGGTCTTGTAATTCAAAAGCTCAAAGAGCTGGAAAGCAATGCCAGGCCACTGGCAGCAACTGGCTCGCGAGGAGCCGCAATAAACCCACATTGTGCCACAATCGGGTTGCAAGGCAAAGCCTTTGCAATTGGCAACAACTGGCTCGTAAAGAGCCGCAACTAGCGGAGCAAATGACCAGTTAGGAGCGATAGAGGTAAATGTTCCCTAGTACCATTAGAAAGATGGGAGGGGTTGAGGGGGGGGGGGGGGGTGAAAATTTGATGCTGGCACAAGCTAAAAGTCACCACTAATTTGACTTTGAAGTGAAGCCAGCAGCAAGAAAGAAAGAGAAAGTTCAAAGGAAGCAGTTGTGCAACGTCAGGCTAAGCGCGCCCAAGTCCATGCGCTGGCAATGTAAGCGCAGTGAGCAAAAGTTCAAAGGAAACAGTTGTGCGACGTCAGGCTAAGCGCACCAAAATCTATGCACTGACAGTGTGAGTGCAGTGAGCAAAGCACTGACGCAACGGTGCGCGGCAGATGCAAACATGGCAGTGTGATCGGTGGATGCCAACACACACTAACTACATTATTGCGACATTTAAGTCCGGGTTTGGAAATTTATTTTTCATTGCTATCAGGTTCGGCCTCATTTCCTCTGCGTTGCGCTGATGAGTCCACAAAGGACGAAACAGCATGCTGTCCACAGGTTGAGTCGGTACAGTCAGACCTCGCATTACCGCACACATCTGTTTTCCACAAAAAAACATCCGGACAGGCGAGGGAACCGGATAATCGAACACACATACTGTATGTATGCATGGCACATGCTGTAAATCGGTAGCCAACGAATTTCTTCCGGATGGCGAGGGATCCGGATAAAAGAGGAGCGGATAAGCGAGGTCTGACTGTCGTAATTATTATGTACGAGTACATGCACAATAAAGTATTATGGTTTCCAGTAGGACATTTGCGAAATTTATGGGGTTCCGTGGAACCCTGGACCCCTCCTGGATCCGCCCCCGTGTATGTTGTTCCCGTCTGCGGGTGGGCATTATAGTGGTGTATTGTAGTGTGTTGTGTGCGTGCGTGTGTGCGTGTGTGTGTGTGTGCGTGCGTGCGTGCGTGTGTGTGTGCGTGCGTGTGTGTGTGTGTTTTAAAATCGTTGTACTGTAAGTCTGCAGAACAGAACAACACGGACAATCAAGGCTTGTTTGCTGCTACTTCAAGTTTCATACTCTCGCAATCATCAGGCAACATGAAGATTGGGTGCCGACCATGCCGGTATAATTATATGCCAGAAGAGGGCGGTATAAAAAGCACTGTGAGAATGTGGGGGCTAGCGGTGTTATTTTAGGCAGGAGGCTATGTGCAGAGTGTGTGGTTGTTGAAGGCAGGGGCTAGGAGTGCAGTGTTAGCGCAGAGTGTGTGGCTGGTGTGGGCAGGAGGTGGTGAGCAATGCGTGTGGATGTTGTAGGCAGGAGGCTGTAGAGCTAGCAGTATGATATTAGCGCAGTGTAAATGTATATGGCTGGTGTGGGCAGGGTGTTATGAGCAAGGTGTGTGAACGTGAATGGTGTGGGCAGGGTGTTATGAGCAAGGTGTGTGAACGTGAATGGTGTGGGCAGGAGGCTGTGGAGACATGTTTAGGTGACACCGTGATTTTTTAGGAGATACTTGTTCTCGTGTCGGCACTTGGACACCATTTCAGAGCGCTTGTTGAGGCTGGATGGTGACCGCCTAGCGTGTTCAGGATGTGGAGCTTTTCTCTGGTACAGAGGGAACATCGCTTTGTGATGTTGGAGTATGCCCGGACGCGATCCTTTATGCTCCATTCGACTTCGTATTGGGCGTTGGATTTCTTCAGGTTCCGGATATAGTTGGAGAATTCAGTGCTGCTGGAGTACTTTTCGTATCTGGTTGTCATGTGGTTAGCATGGCGTGACTTGAACGGTGGCACCGACACACCGGTGTATTCCTTCTTGGTGGGGCCTGACGTTATGGATGCTACATATATCAGTTCCGTCGTTTGGCATTCACCGTTGAGTGGACAAGATGGCTTGTCTCGGCAGTTGCATGGCTTTTTCCAGTTTTTTCGTTTGCGGGCGGAGAACCGCTTTGTTGTGGCTTTTGATGCGTGCAGCCATATTTGGCATGCAATTGTAGCTGATCTTGATGATGTTTTTGTGTGAATATTTTTCCGAGCTTCGACTGTGGGGGGAAGTGCTTCTTAATGATGGCAAGGAATCTTCCACCAATGTTTGTTTTCACATTACGGCTGTAGGGCGGGTTGTACCAAATCACCTTCCTCTTCCTTTTCTTCTTTTTGCTCGGTTTCTGTTTGAACTCTCGCGTGCTAGGGTGGCCGCTGGCGTTGAGGGCCTCCGCGTAGATGGGAATAGCGTCACCGCACACCGCTTCTGAGCAGGAGATGCTTGCCAGTCGGTTGTTAATTCCAGCTGGAATGTTCTTAAGGACTTGCGATGCGTGATTGGAGTTGACGTTGACATACAGTGGGGTGTCGTTGGGTTTTCGGTACGGTTGGTAGGTTCCTGTGGAGAGGCTCATTGTGATGTCTAGGTAGTTAACGGCGTTCAGGTTGACGTCTATCGTGATTTTTAGCCCCAGCGTCTTGAAGGTGTCGATGACAGCTTTCCTTACTTTGTCCGCACTGTGGCCAGTCGCGTTTCGAAGGACAGCAAGGCCATCGTCTCTGTAAAGGCCTACCGAGCCACTGCTGAAGTGCTGTTCGAGTTTACTCAGGAGGAAGGCGCCGACCAGCTCACATGCTTCAGTGCCATCGAAGGATCCCATGGTAATATCGAACAGCCCGTCTCTGTTTTTCTTTGCCCATGTTCGGTTAGCTCCAAATAGCAGTGACTGCCTCGCATGTAGTGATATGCCGGTGTCACTGTCAGGAATTGCCACGAGCTGCTTAGCATAGGCGCGGGCTAGGCGCAGCAAGTTTTCGGAAATAGATGGATAGAAATCCACTATATCAAACGTCACAAACGTGTGGCTAGCCTTCTCCTCGATTGCCTTGAACCAGTTTATGACGGAGGATGTGTTTTTCCATAGGTTGATGTTGGGTTTGTCCCGCAGTGCTTCCACTATGCCGCTTAGTATCTTTCTGCTGACAACGCCTATCTCCGGCTTCGCAGGGTTAATTAAGCGGCATGGCATGTTCCTGGGAAAGTTTTCTTTGTGGTCCTTGATGGTGACGAAAGCTTCTGCCTTTGCCATGGTGTCGATGCGGCCCTCCAGGCCCTTATCAGCAGCGATTGTCTTGGGCTCATCGTTGATGGTGTCCTAGGCGCCTTCTGGTGCCGCACGGTACTGTGAGTGTGCACATTTTCGGCCCATTCAAATTTCGGACTCCCAGGTCTAAAACTCATTTCGGCCGCATCAAATTTTCAACCTGTACTGCTGCCGTCTGTATACACTACCACACTGAACCTTGCTAAACAAAATTTCGGCCACAACAAATTTTCGGCCAAACATGACCAGGCCGAAAATAACCGAAAATTGATATACAATGTCATGTTATTGTTTCCTCGCCGTTTGTTTTAAATAAAATGCGCCGAATACTTGCTGACTTACAGTATCTTTCTCTGCATACGTGTCTGTCTGTACGCACACGTGTGACATACGTGTCTGTCTGTACATACACGTGTGACATGTGCAGGTGCTGACAGATCCGCCGTTGCTATTCGCCGATGAGCCGACCTCGGGCCTGGACAGTTTTGCCGCCAACACGGTGATTGCCAGCCTGAAGACGCTGGCGGAGAACGGACGCACCATCATCTGCACTATACATCAACCGCCCTCGGAAGTCTTCCTAAGATTTCACAAGTATGTTCAGATGCTCTCTGGTTTTGCATTCAGCCGCCATCTTCGCATGCAGTCTCATGCGACAGCAGGTGCATTCGAGTTCTATCACACTTATCAATCTTCCTTGTGGGCGTCAGGCCACCTTGGAATAAAAAGAATAGAATAAGAATAATTTCGCCCGTGAATTGATTTTTTTAATCCATCCACGAATGGTTGAATGGCACTGGCAGCATCTCTTCCCGAAAATCAAACGGCGTGAATCGCAAACGAGACTTTTGATCACGCGCCCATGACATTGTGCAGCGACGGATGCTGGATACTGGGCATTTTCGATTTGACTTTGAGCAGCGTCTTCCATTTCCAGGGTTCTCACCAAAGCGCCACAGCGGCGAGCTGGCGCTGCGGCCTCCTTTGCTTTTTGCCCCCCCCCCCCCCCCCGCCTCAAAATGAATGTGCCACCGTTCAGAGTGTGAGCACCACATTTTTACACATTTTTATATGCATTATAACTGCACATCATCATATAGCAGCACAGCATAAAATGGCGAAACAAAAATTGGGGTAAAATCACAAAATTTTGGGTCGGACGATCTACACCCCCCCCCCCCCCCCCCTTCACATTTGTTCTGACTATCCCTGATTTGCGCTGTCGCAATTGGCAGTAGACACGAAAACTACTTGCCTCGCGAGCTCATCCGCATCATCTGGCCTGCTGCGTCCTCACCTGAAGTGTCTCATCACGGAGCATCCGCAAGTCGAAATTTCGAATGAAATGAGTGGTCACGATAGGTGATCAACAAGTGCAAACGACAGCTTTGGGCAACGGTAAACCTGCACCCGCGCTAGGTAAAACATATACGCGTGTACTATAAGTGAACAGGCGGCGGGGTGACGAAAGTTTGAGGATGGCAATAAGCAGAATCAGCTGAAGCATCATATCACGAAGGTTTTATTGAGATGTCACGAAACAAATTCTAGAGAAAGTGCCTTAGTGGTGATGGACAAAGAAATAACTATGATGAAAATGTAATGTGAAGAACAGTAATAGGAACGATGAAAATTATAAAAATGCATCCAACTAGCTTTCACACAGTACTCGTCAGGAAACATCGTTGTACTAATTAACAGATTTCAACACAGACTACTATAAAGAATTCATAGTGATGAATAACACATAAACAATGGCAAAAAAGTATGACAAGGTATTCTTGCAAGACACCATGTGCATATAAGATGACAATCAAACACCGAGCCAGCACTCCCTTGGACTGTTGGATTGCTATCTATCACACACATGGTCTCTTGTCTTCTGTTCAGTACTTGTCCCCGGTACTTTTCAGGCATTGTCTTCGTGTATCTTGCTCACTTTGATGAGTGCCTCCCTGAAGTGCTGGCTCACTGTCTTCCGCTTCCTCTCCGATTCTCCTGGTCTCATATTCTCCTGTTCTGTGCTGCAGGTTGCTGTTGTTTGCCGAGGGTCGAACAGCGTACCTGGGAAGTGTTGCAGGAGCACCGGCAGAGTTTGCGAGGTAATGGCCAACACTCGTGCACACTGTACCTGCATGCACAACACCCGCATGGGCGTAGCTGGTCCCCCGTTTAGGGGGGAAGGGGTGCACGACCGCATATGTGTAAGATGGCCGGTGCAGGTCAGTCATGGAAATTATGTGCATGCTGAACCTAGGTCGAAATTTTTAGGGGGTGCATGTGCCCCCTACCCCCTCCCCCCCCCCCCCCCCCCCATGCCCCACTCTGGCTACACGCCTGACCCACCTTGGCAGATAAGGTGCAGACGAGCTGGTGGGAAGCTCAGTTGACCAACCCACGATGTAGGCAAATGTGGTCCTTTCACCTTGCAGATGATCTGTTGAACCCGGCTGCATATATGCTGTTTGTGCTAAGCAGAGCTCAGTGACTTGTTAGTTTGAGCACTCTGACAAGGTACGTTCGGGCCTTGTTTAAATCTGGCTTTGGAAAATTTATTTTTTATTGCTCTCAGGTTTGGCCTCGTTTTCTCTAGGCTACGCTAATGAGTGCACAAAGGACGAACTCTGAGCTTTCTTAGAGCATATTGCCCTATTTTACAGCTCTTTGTTTTGTATGTCACGATCCGCTGTGCGTGTGTGTTCATGCTGTGTGTGTGTGTATGTGTCCGTGTGCGTATGTGCGTGTGTGTGTCTGTGCGTGTGTGCGTATGTGCGTGTGCGTGCGTGCTGTGTGCATGTGTGTGGATCAGACTGGGTTTCGTCTGCCCAGCGGATTACAACTACGCCGACTTCTACATCAACACACTGTCCATAGCACCCGGCGAGGAGGAGGAAAGTCGGGCCAGAGTCAAGGTACTGCAGCAGGAGCAGCACTAGCGCAATCCTCCTTCTCCTAGACTACAGTTCAAACTACCGAAAAGAGACCGTCCGGGGTTCCCGATTATTTTTACAAAATGAACAGTTTTAGCATGTTTTAACCCCCACCCACCCACCTTTTCTGCAGGTAAAACGGATTCCAATAAAATATTTATGTCAATTCTCAACAACCAAAAGTAACTGGGCATTCTCCATCTGCATTCAATAATTATTTTCGAAACGAAACTCCATCAAACCCACCCACCCCCAAACGAAATATCTTCTTTTTGAAAATGTTATTGGTAGCCTTGGACTGCCCCTAAGACGTGATGGAATGGGAAAGTTTCCAAGGTGATTGATCACGTGTGAAGTCATTGTTCTTGTCTGCATCCATGCACAGGCTGTTAGGGATGCATACAAGACCCTTTGTGCTGGTGTGATGTCATTGTGTGATGTAATCGTGTGATGTCATCGTGTGATGTCATCTTGTGATGTCATTGTCCTTGTCTGTACACACATGCACAGGTTGTTACTGATGCATACAAGACCAAGGAGGAAGCAGCGGGCATAGCCCAGGCACCGGAACAGGTAACCTTAGCAATGCCGCAACGGCCTTCACCTGTAGCAAGAAGGAGCCACGTGTGTGTGTGTGTGTGTGTGTGCGTGCGTGCGTGTGAGCGCGTGCGTGTGTGTGTGTGTGTGCGTGCGTGCGTGTGAGCGCGTGCGTGTGTGTATGTGTGTGCGTGCGTGCGTGTGAGCGCGTGCGTGTGTGTGTGTGTGTGTGTGTGTGTGTGTGTGTGTGTGTGTGTGTGTGTGTGTGTGTGTGTGTGTGTGTGTGTGTGTGTGTGTGTGTGTGTGTGTGTGTGTGTGTGTGTGTGTGTGTGTGTGATCCCCGGTAGCCTAATCGGCAGGGCACTGTCCCGGAAAGACAGGGGTGCTCATACCTGCCAAGTACTGAGAGTGCTTTTTCTGGATCGCCATGGCAAAATCCCGGGATTTGCCCTGGTTTTTCGGGATATGTCATATTTTTACCAAAAAAAATCCTTTTTCAACTTTTGATGGCACCAGTTGCACCAACATTTCGATAATAGATGATTGATGGTGATCATCAAATCACACTTACACATGTTCAAGACTCAAAAACGGAGGTTTTTCAGACACTGCTCATGGAAGGAGCACTAGTACTAGTAGATCCACTGGTAGGTACTGCAGGCTATGTCGGTCCGGGATCAATAAGGACAACTACTGGCTTGTGACAAGTCATTTGAAGTGCTCCAAGTACAACATCAAGCTTGTTTCTTGTACAGTGAATTTTGGGATATTCGACAGGAATTTCGGGATCGCGGGAGTTCATCCAAAATTGCGGGATAATCCCAAAAAAATCTGGATACTTGGCAGGTATGGGTGCTGAGTTTGAATCCCGCTCGTGGATTCTTCTTTCTCAGCGCACAGGTGTGAAGTTGCCATGGATCCAGCACAGGGACTTCCCTGTGCACTGGATTAGCCCTCTAAGAGAGTACTATAATCGTACATCGGAGCAGTTCAGCAGTTTTGTGTGAACTCACTATTTTGCCTGGAACTCAAATGAATACGGTGGAAACAGGGATGTACATGTAGCTGGTGCCTCTTTTAGCGGGGTAGGGGAGCACGGCCTCTTTTAGCGGGGTAGGGGAGCGCGACCTCTATTAGCGGGGTAGGGGAGCGCGACCTCTATTAGCGGGGTAGGGGAGCACGGCCTCTTTTAGCGGGGTAGGGGAGCGCGGCCTCTTTTAGCGGGTAGGGGAGCGCGGCCCCTTTTAGCGTGGTAGGGGAGCGCGGCCTCTTTTAGTGTGGTAGGGGAGCGCGGCCTCTTTTAGCGGGGTAGGGGAGCGCGGCCTCTTTTAGCGGGGTAGGGGAGCGCGGCCTCTTTTAGCGTGGCAGGGGAGCACGGCCTCTTTTAGCGGGGTAGGGGAGCGCGGCCTCTTTTAGCGGGGTAGGGGAGCGCGGCCTCTTTTAGCGGGGTAGGGGAGCGCGGCCTCTTTTAGCGTGGTAGGGGAGCACGGCCTCTTTTAGCGGGGTAGGGGAGCGCGGCCTCTTTTAGCGGGGTAGGGGAGCGCGGCCTCTTTTAGCGTGGTAGGGGAGCGCGGCCTCTTTTAGCATGGTAGGGGAGCGCGGCCTCTTTTAGCGGGGTAGGGGAGCGCGGCCTCTTTTAGCGGGGTAGGGGAGCGCGGCCTCTTTTAGCGTGGCAGGGGAGCACGGACTCTTTTAGCGGGGTAGGGGAGCGCGGCCTCTTTTAGCGGGGTAGGGGAGCGCGGCCTCTTTTAGCGGGGTAGGGGAGTGCGGCCTCTTTTAGCGGGTAGGGGAGCGCGGCCTCTTTTAGCGTGGTAGGGGAGCGCGGCCTCTTTTAGTGTGGTAGGGGAGCGCGGCCTCTTTTAGCGGGGTAGGGGAGCGCGGCCTCTTTTAGCGGGGTAGGGGAGCGCGGCCTCTTTTAGCGTGGCAGGGGAGCACGGCCTCTTTTAGCGGGGTAGGGGAGCGCGGCCTCTTTTAGCGGGGTAGGAGAGCACGGCCTCTTTTAGCGGGGTAGGGGAGCGCGGCCTCTTTTAGCGGGGTGGGGGAGCGCGGCCTCTTTTAGCGGGGTAGGGGAGCGCGGCCTCTTTTAGCGGGGTAGGGGGCACGGCCTCTTTTAGCGGGGTAGGGGAGCACGGCCTCTTTTAGCGGGGTAGGGGAGCGCGGCCTCTTTTAGCGGGGTAGGGGAGAGCGGCCTCTTTTAGCGGGGTAGGGGAGCGCGGCCTCTTTTAGCGGGGTAGGGGAGCGCGGCCTCTTTTAGCGGGGTAGGGGAGCGCGGCCTCTTTTAGCGGGGTAGGGGAGCGCGGCCTCTTTTAGCGGGGTAGGGGAGCGCGGCCTCTTTAAGCGGGGTAGGGGAGCGCGGCCTCTTTTAGCGGGGTAGGGGAGCGCGGCCTCTTTTAGCGGGGTAGGGGAGCGCGGCCTCTTTTAGCGGGGTAGGGGAGCGCGGCCTCTTTTAGCGGGGTAGGGAGCGCGGCCTCTTTTAGCGGGGTAGGGAGCGCGGCCTCTTTTAGCGAGGTAGGGGAGCACGGCCTCTTTTAGCGGGGTAGGGGAGCACGGCCTCTTTTAGCGAGGTAGGGGAGCGCGGCCTCTTTTAGCGTGGTAGGGGAGCGCGGCCTCTTTTAGCGGGGTAGGGGAGCGCGGCCTCTTTTAGCGGGGTAGGGGAGCGCGGCCTCTTTTAGCGGGGTAGGGGAGCACGGCCTCTTTTAGCGGGGTAGGGGAGCACGGCCTCTTTTAGCGGGGTAGGGGAGCACGGCCTCTTTTAGCGGGGTAGGGGAGCGCGGCCTCTTTTAGCGGGGTAGGGGAGCACGGCCTCTTTTAGCGGGGTAGGGGAGCACGGCCTCTTTTAGCGGGGTAGGGGAGCACGGCCTCTTTTAGCGGGGTAGGGGAGCACGGCCTCTTTTAGCGGGGTAGGGGAGCACGGCCTCTTTTAGCTTGGTAGGGGAGCACGGACTCTTTTAGCGGGGTAGGGGAGCGCGGCCTCTTTTAGCGGGGTAGGGGAGCGCGGCCTCTTTTAGCGGGGTAGGGGAGCACGGCCTCTTTTAGCGGGGTAGGGGAGCACGGCCTCTTTTAGCGGGGTAGGGGAGCACGGACTCTTTTAACGGGGTAGGGGAGCACGGACTCTTTTAGCGGGGTAGGGGAGCACGGCCTCTTTTAGCGGGGTAGGGGAGCACGGCCGCATATGTGTAGGATGGCTGGTGCATGTCATTCAGGGTCATTATGTGCATGCTGAACCTCGGTCAAAAATTTTAGGGGGTACACGTGCCCCATTCAGGCTATGTGCCTGGGAACTTTGATAAGAAGTAACCCCATGGGCAGCATGAAAAGTGTACTTAGCATTCGAGGTACATGTACTTCTTAACCCAACATACATAATACTTCAGCATGGATGAATACGCCCGTGTTCCGGATATTGTTCGTATCAAGCAAGAGTATGTATTATCAGAGTATGTATTATCAGAGTATGTATTATCAGAGTATGTATTATCAGAGTATGTATTAAGCAAGAGTATGACTAACTTTTGCTGTAAATTATATGGGTGCTGCTTAATTGCGTTTTCTCTGTTGTTGTTGTTGTTGCTGCTGCTGCTGCTGTTGTTGCTGCTGTCGCTGCTTTTACTGCTGCTGTTGCTGGTGCTGCTATTGCTGCTGCTGCTCAGGATACTCGAGCAATTGACAAAGCTGTGCAGGAGCTATGGTAAGATTACCGATCACCCTGAGTCACAGTGCTGAGCACTGAAAGCTGAGCGCTGATCACTGCTGAGCGCTGATCACTGAGCGCTGATCACTGAGCGCTGATCACTGCTGAGCGCTGATCACTGAGCGCTGATCACTGAGCGCTGATCACTGAGCGCTGATCACTGAGCGCTGATCACTGAGCGCTGATTACTGAGCGCTGATCACTGAGCGCTGATCACTGAGCGCTGATCACTGAGCGCTGATTACTGAGCGCTGATCACTGAGCGCTGATCACTGAGCGCTGATCACTGAGCGCTGATCACTGAGCGCTGATCACTGAGCGCTGATTACTGAGCGCTGATCACTGAGCGCTGATCACTGAGCGCTGATCACTGAGCGCTGATCACTGAGCGCTGATTACTGAGCGCTGATCACTGAGCGCTGATCACTGAGCGCTGATCACTGAGCGCTGATCACTGAGCGCTGATCACTGAGCGCTGATCACTGAGCGCTGATCACGGAGCGCTGATCACTGAGCGCTGAGCACTCTCTACCTTAGTAGTCCTTACTCCCTATACTCAGTAACACCATTCATTGCAAACAGCCAGAGAACGGTATTGTTTGTTGTTTACTATGCTTTTATTCATAGCCGTTCGACCAAACAGGCAATGGTGTCCTCTCACAAGGTGACAACTTAGAAGAGGGGAGGGGAGAAAGAGAATGGGAGGGGAGAAAGAGAATGGGGAGGGGAGAAAGAGAATGGGGAGGGGAGAAAAAAGACAGGCACCGTCAGGAAGGGAGATAGAATGGAGATGATTTGTACCTCCAAGGGGTAAAGCATTCTTTTCTGAACAATCAAACTAAGGTATAGAGCAGAGCCCGGGGAAATTATACCAATCCAAATCTGTTTTGTGAGCAGCGGTAGAGGTAGCCACTAGTCAACTTCGACCGTATTCGTAGGGGAAAGAGGCGGTAGAAACATTTTTGTATCGATGAGCTCGCCATAGTGAGTTCAGTATCCATATCCTCGCCCTTGTTGCCATTGCCTCCTCAACGGAAGTGAGGTACCCAATCCTGCTAATGTAAGTCAACAGATATTCGGCGCATATTTATTTTCGGCTATCTTCGGCCTGGTCTTGTTTGGCCGAAAATTTGTTGCGGCCGAAAATTTGTTTTGTATGGTTCTGTGTGAGTGTATACAGGCGGCAGCAGTACAGGCTGGAAATTTGAATTGGCCGAAATGGGTTTTAGCCCTGGGAGGCCGAATGTGTGTAGACTTACAGAATCCACTGTTTCAATATCCTAACACTTCGACACTTCTTCAGAATGAAGAGGACCAATATGGTTGAAATGTGAATGTTCGTCAGTACCAAGTTTTTGCTTCTGTTAGTAACCTACTGCTGTTCATTTTTTCTTCTTTTTCTGTGCATCTGTGTGTGTGGGTGTCTGTCTGTGCGTCTGCCTGTACGTCTGTCAATGTGTATCTGGGCATATGTGACTGTGTATGTGCGTACGCACATACATGTGGGATTGAGTGGATGGCCAACACACACATGTGTGTGTGTGCGTACGTGCGTGCGTGGGTGTGTGTGTGTGGGTGTGCGTGTGCGTGCTTGCGTTGGTGTGTTTGTGTGTATGTGCATCTGCACACGTGTTGACATTATACACACGCATACACACGCACGCACGCACACGCACGCACACACACACACACACACATACACACACACACACACACACACATAAACACACACACACACACACACACACACACACACACACACATACCTGCAGTTGTACGCGAGGAGAGCCGTGGTACACTCAACTCTACTATATCATGTGGAGGAGCTGGATCAGCACCACTCGTGAATTTCAAGTTGTAGTCGTTCAGCTTTTCCAGACATTGGTGAGCTAGCGTTAACTATAGGGCTTGAAAGTGCTACATCACGGCATAGCAACAATTTCAAAAATTCAAAATTTTTGTATGGATCCAAGCACATTTCAAGCGGTCTTACTCAGAGCAAGGTGATATAGCCGGTGAAATTGACTGGGTTGGCTAATGGGGGTGGGGTGACAACTGGTGGCGAAGAAAAAGTCACACCGGCATGCGACATGAGTGGGTTGCTATGAACCCACACACTGTTTAAAGGGGAAGTTAAGGCTAAAATCAAAATTTCACCAGTTGTAGTCTTCGGGGTGCTGAGTCGAATAGTCTTGGTCTGAGGAAGCTGAGACGCTCCCTTCCTACTTTAATCCCAATCGAACTCGCGCACTTCCACCGAAACTGGGTGACTGCGCCCTACTAGATGGGGATTTGTATGCAAAATGTACCTAAAAGTGCCATTTCATTCTTATAAAAGCACGGATGACCCCGATTGGCCCATATGTTGTAGTCTTTTGGACGCTGAGTCGACTGGTTTTGGTCCGAAAAGGCTGCGATGCAGCGTTCGGCCCTTATTCTCAATCGAACATGGTTGAACAAGCGGTCACGTGCTCCTGCGTACACCAGTCACCTAGTCACCTCGCCAGCAGCGACAACTTTCACACCAAGGTTCAACTCAAAGGTTCAACTCTAGTGACAGAAACTCGCCCAAACATGCTGTAAGTTGTCGCCTGCAGGCACAGTGACCAGGTGACTGGTGTACGCAGGAGCACGTGACTGCTTGTTCAGCCATGTTTGATTGGGAATAAGGGCCGAACGCTGCATCGCAGCCTTTTCGGACCAAAACCAGTCGACTCAGCGTCCAAAAGACTACAACATATGGGCCAATCGCGGTCATCCGTGCTTTTATAAGAACGAAATGGCGCTTTTAGTGACATTTTGCATACAAATCCCCATCTAGTAGGGCGCAGTCACCCAGTTTCGGTGGAAGTGCGCGAGTCCGATTGGGATTAAAGTAGGAAGGAAGCGTCTTAGCTTTCTCGGACCAAGACAATTCGACTCAGCACCCCGAAGACTACAACTGGTGAAAATTTGATTTTAGGCTTAACTTCCCTATAAATTTCAAAAGTCCTCAAAGTCCTGGGGTGCGGGGTCTCCCAGGGGAAAGTTTTGAAATTAGGGTGCAAAATCCTGCATTCTGGGCACTTTTGGTATTGTGCTAAGAAAAAGTGGTCGGGCCAAAGCCAGACCGGCCGGACCGGTTGCTGTGCCCCTGATGTATGCATTGGTGTCTGGGTGCGTGTCTGCCAATCAGTATGTTTCTCTGTTTTGCCTGACGAATCTTGATACCGAAACATTGACCCACCAACACAGGTCCAGGCAAAGGATTCATAATTTGGACTGGCAGACGGGCAGACCACTGTCTGTCTGTCTGTCTGTCTGTCTTCCAGTCTGTCTGTCTGTCTGTCTTGTCTGTCTGTCTGTCTGTCTGTCTGTTTGTCTGTCTTCCAGTCTGTCTGTCTGTCTGTCTGTCTGTCTGTCTGTCTGTCTGTCTGTCTGCCTGTCTGTCTGTCTGCCTGTCTGTCTGTCTGTCTTCCAGTCTGTCTGTCTGTCTGTCTGTCTGTCTGTCTGTCTGTCTGTTTTTCTTTCTGAAGAACGCCCACACATGGGTGGTGGACTCGATCAGATAACTTGTGTCCACTTTTCCCATGTTGCTATTTTTTCCATGGCTCACCATCTGCCTTTTCCTAATCGGCCTGATCTTTCCCAGGTCGTGGCGTTGCTGTTTAGTGGAGTCTTCTGGCAAATTGACACCGGCAATGGGCAGCCACGCGTTCAGAACTTTGTCGGTGCTACGATGATGATTCTAACGAACGTGACCTTCACCAACCTGTACCCAGTTGTTAACGTAAGTTGTGTACGCCCACACACACGCCCACACATCCCCCCCCCACACACACACACACGCCCACACACACGCCCACACATCCCCCCACACATACACGCCCACACATCCCCCCACACACACGCCCACACACACGCCCACACACACGCCCACACACACGCCCACACACACGCCCACACGCACACACCTCCAGATACAGTAAAACCTGTAACTAACGACCACCTATCGGGGCCGGAGAAAGAGGTCTTTAGTGGCAGGTGGTCCTTAGTTAGAGGTTTGCACCGCACAACCATATGAATGTGAGATCGTCCGTGCCTGGCGAAGTTGTCTGTAGTACCAGGTTGGTCGCTTGTCGTGGTGGTCTTTAGTTACAGGTTTTATTACATACCAACTCACCACTAGCCTCTTGATGCACAGCTTCATCCCAACTTTCTTTTGCCCTGTATGAAACGAAAGACAAATAATTGCCGAAATCCTTCTACTGTATGAGTAGCTTCATTCTTTCATCAAAATGCTCTTGTACCAGCCTACACAGCTCATTCTTTCATCAACATGCTCTTATACCAGCCTACACAGCTCATTCTTTCATCAAAATGCTCTTGTACCAGCCTACACAGCTCGCAAAGCTAGGTAAATATCCTCACTCTCCGCACGTACTGTTATCAGCTCGATTCACACCCGCCCTAGATTGAATTGATCCGTTGAATCTTCCCAGTGCTGCTAGCTGGGTAAGCGTGGATAGAAAGAAAAAATAATTATTGTGAAAATATGCCCATTGCACCATGACGTAATTTGTACCATGAACACCTGGTACGCATCCACCTGGGCATGGTCGTGTGGGGGTGTTGAACAGTGCCGCTGCTGATTCTGACATCCTCACATGCCAGTACTCATGTACTCCATATTTGGCAATGTGCACTAGGCATATGGACTTTAAAAGAACTAGTGTTCACAACCTTTTTAAAACAAACAGAGCTTTCGGCCATGCTCCGATTTACTACATCCTCAACCTGCCACCACCCTGCGCTCTTGGCCGAACCAATGCACGACGCAGAACACACCAGCACGGCAAGAGCACTTCCGTTTGCAGACACAGTAAAACCTGTCACGGAGACCACTCGGATAAGGCGACCACCTGTCCTAGAAGACCGCGACAAGCAGGACCAAGGGATGTCATTCTCAGTCAACTGACCCTGGATACGGAGGCCACCTGGTTACGAAGGCCAAGTGTTAGTTTTGAAGGTCCCTTGAGCGGTCGTCTTAATTCACTGTCTTTCGTTACGCCTCTAGACAGCTGTTTCGCTCCGTCCAGCCCATCAGTAGAGGATGATAATGGTGATTATGGAGTGTAAAGGAAGATCATTTTTATACAGCAGAAATGGCGCAAGTGCATGCTTTCCACATAGAACTTTGGCGTATGCAAGCTGCTAAATGTGAGAATTGTGGGAATGGTTTTAACTACAGTCCGTTTCAAAAAGATTTGCAATCCTGGCGATCGCCCGCGGAGTTTGGCGTCTTACCGTATGAGCACTCGATCGCTGCCTGGAAAAACTCACTGTGAACTCGAAGAAATATTCCGCGCGAAAGCAGGAAAAATGACAACTCACTCACGTTGATACAGTCATGTACGTCTGGTTTACAGCAAACGAGTTCTTCCTCGTATCGATAATGGAGTCAGAGAGGACATGTCGAAACGAAGTGTTGTAAATGTTGACGAGCGGCATGTGTCCCAATTCGTTTTGTTACCAAAATAGTTTCTTTTAGCTGCGATGCAATTTACTCACCGTGTAACGAAAACACGACATCGACACGGACTCATTCCCAAGGCCATGACTTGGCAAAGCTATCCATGTGACTTCGACGACATTTTGAGAAAAGCAGACGCTTGTGAACGCTGATAGAAGACGGCGTTGACTGCTAAATTCAAATAAATTGGCGATCT